ATATTTGGCAAAACTCTGAAATTCAAGGTTAAACAATATTACAATGAAACAAAAATAAAAAATATTAATAAAATTACTACTAAAATTACAGTTACTCTTACACATACAAATTCTTCACTAGTTTTGGTTCTGTGCGACAATCTTCTGTAACTTCTAATTAAATTAAAACACTTACCTTTCATCAAAAGAATCTTCATAATGATCAAACAAATCAGTAGCATCCACTCCAACGGATATACTGCCCTAAATAATCACAAGAAATGAATACATGTTGACAAACTTTCTGATAAATAACCTGTGACTGCTTTTTTAAGAAAACCACGAAGGAATGTAAAATAAATTATGCAAGTAAAAAATAATTATTTTTACTTGAATGCATGATTTATTTTAATTCATAATAATTTAAATTAATTAATTATAATTTATCTTAATTAATGATAATTTATTTTAATTAATACTAAAACTAATCTCAGGCAATAGGCACTTTTCAGTTCAGCCTTACTGTTGGATTTGTGATTTGTTGTAAACGCCGCTCCTCTTTTTCTCTTTGTAGCCTCTCATATTCTTCACGAATCTAAAAAAAACATTTCACAATTCACACAAAATGCTATTCATAGTCAGGCTGTAAGCTTGACACTGAAAGGGTGCATAATGGTATAGTCTATTGACTCTATCACTTGCTATCCAGTGTGTACAGTGTTTAAAGATTTTCTTGTGGAAAGCAATTTTTAATAAACCGTTTTTTAACTTTAATTTTTTAATTATGCAGGGTTGGTACACACATGTACATAAAATTTATTTTATTAGACCATCTTGTCTGTAGCACAACACATACTGGCAGAAATTAAACACCAATCACTCTGACTAAAACTTACTTCAGCTGGTGTTCTTTGTCTTTCAATAATCTACAATAAAAGCCAAGAAGACTCATTAGATATTTAAATGTTTTCTGACAATACTGGAAAGATATAAAACATATCATTAAATAAAAAGCAAAATACTAAAAAGTATGTAAATAGTTATACTCATTTGACAGAGCATGCCTCAAATTCTAGACAAAACATATCCCTGATTTATGCCACAGTATGTGTCCAGAAGTCCTTGACTTGTGACATGTAAACTTACATTAGGTTATCATCAAGAAATCATTCAAAAGCAGCTCTGTTGGGACAACATTGTGTGACGACATATTAGGAGAGTTTCGATGCAAAATCTGATTGCGACAACATAGCTGTCAGCTAATTTTTCGTCAGTACAGCTGTGTTATGCATGCTTACCTCCCAACCTGCATCCAATCCTTTCTGGCCATATACATCATAAATTCCTCTTTTTTCTGGATTACTAAGGACTAAACATTTTTAAAAATGTCACTTCATCATTACCAATTCCTTTTTTTTAATAAAAAATATAAAACAGCCACGAACTCAAAAATTAAAATATTATTGTCTTGAGTTTCACTGCTTGCCATTTATAAAATGCCCAATTCCCTCTTTAAAATGTGCCTGCAGGGACATCATGTTATTTGTGCTTATCATCTTGGATGGGATATTTATTTTGATGAATAGTGGACTACCATGATTCCTTGCAGGTATGTCTCAAAGGGGGAATTAGCTATTGTGTACTGTTCAGCCACCTTTACTCCTAGTAGTTCAAGTTTTACCAGAAGTTCATTAACCTCTAACGGTAGTATGGGCCACTTAATGCATTCCACTTTTTTTCAGTTCCACTCTTTTTTCAGTTTAAACTCCTGTTGACACAGGCTTCTAGCCAGATGGGTGTCCAGGCATCCTGTGGACGGCCACTTATTAAAGAAAATTGTTTTATTTTTTATATGTTCCCTAAGTTATAAATTATTCATTTGAGCAGGTCCTATAGCACATTTTGGATGCCCACTTTTCAAATCCTGGCTAAAAGCCTGTGGTGACACAATTACACAAAGTCATGTATTGACATATTAGACACAAATTTACCTTCATGGGCCTTTTGAATTTTACTAAACAGCTCTACAGCAATCTGCGGACAAAGGGCAGTCAAAAAATTTCTCATTTATTTTTTCTTGATTTTACTAGGCTCATATTTCCAGCCATTTTGTGAGCTCACACCACTAGGTGTAGTGGAGGATCACAAGCAGACCCCCAAAACAGCTGGAAATCAAGTCTAGGAAATACTGGCTCTGGAAAAGAAATTTCCAGATGGTAAACACAAGTTTGTAAGATGATAAACAAAGTTACTTTTGACTGTTTCAAGACAGTGTGAGCACTTTAGTTAGCAATTATAATTTGTTCAGAATAATGACTCATCATGCAGCATGAATATCATCTATCAATACTACTGTATATTCCAATAGAGTCAGTAGCATAATTATTTCTGTTGTTTTACCACTAGCTGATCAAACACGGTTAGAATAACTCATTTAAAGTGCACCAAGAAATCCGGCATGGCAATATTGCACGCTCCTCAAAGATACCAACCAATCAGACACGGGAATTTTGTTATTCATATGATTACATCATTCAGTTTACTGGGCAAAATATTTTATTAATTACTTTATTTTGTTGTTGTTGCAATAACATTTGGCTTATGCAGAGGAAATAGTTCTTTAAAAAAATTTCATGTACTTCAATAACACAATCCAACATAAAAAAGATTCCTGTAAATAGCAGTTTTAAAGCTTACTCACTTTCTTCTTGGCTGGATCATGGTGTTTATCTGGATGGTACAACACGCACATGCGCCTGTAGGCTGCTTTTATTTCATTTTCATTAGCCTGAAATACAATTTTGTTGCATCCAATTACAAGAACAACACATTTATAGCTTCACTTATTTGAAGAAGACTGTATTCACCTCTTTTCGGACGTTCAAAACTGCGTAGTAATCGATGCCTTCACTTTCGTCTGCTTCCGCCATTTTGAAATTGAACCGCTGCTAGTTCTTTTCAAAATTGCGGGCTTGTAATTTTGAGCAATCTTGACGCTGATTGGTTGATACATGAGCACACACCCCCAACTCGTGCCATATTTGGAGAAACGCGTGATGCAGATTTCTTTGCTTTCAGCAGACTTTCTGCATTACGTGAAATACTCGTGTAGTTTCCGGAAATTTTCTTCTCTGTAAAAGCTTTTTCGATCATGTTGGCAGCACGAGCAGTTTTCAGGAGTCAAGCTCTGAGGTATGGTTTCATCCACTACATTTATTCCGAGCGCAATTTTTTGTGTCATAAGTTTGCCCGCGAACTGTAAACATGTTGTCAGTTCATGTTTGAGATTGAACGAACTTACGCAATATCATCGATTGATTCAAATACAATAGATATGTGAATGATATAGCCAAGGTTTTCAACTTCATATAGCCCTTTTGAGCAGTTTTTTGATTGTACTGAAAAAGATGCAAAACTCTTGTGCCGGTTGCCAGCTTGTAAACATAACCAAGCTTACCTTTGAGGTAGACTGTTCGCTGCCTTCAGACATGCCAACAGTAACAAACTTTCGTACCGAGCTTGTACCATCTTTTACAGCCCTCCAATTTTTTGTTGGGCTCGTTATATCGAGAAAGTCTTTGGCGGCGTAAAATATTCTTCATTCCGCCCTTTTGATCACGAGATACAGCTGGTAAAAAAAGTTTTGGAAGCTTCCCAATTTGGCAACTTGTCTCCATTATCTGGTATTTTATTTCGGATAGGTAATAACATTTCTTCCGGAACTTTTTTTTGCTGGTTGAAGGCCAACGAAATTGCTTTAACAAAGTTGATTAAAAATTGTATTGAAATATTGGTAACTGTTTTTTTGTTGCTGTTTTTTTTTTAATTTTTCCTTGTTTGTTTGGGTGGAAATGGCCACTGTGCTGAATTGATTGTAGACATTGAATAATTTATCAGGCATACATGACGTGGTTGCTGTATGTTCATACAGGTCTTTTTTTCTGTATATTTTGTGGTCAATGTAAGTTCAACTTTGAAGAAATCATGCCACTTATAAACAGACCTTGAACACAATAATTGAAAATGATTATTATGTTGTTACATGGATAAATAATATTATGGAACTGCATAATTACTATTTTGTAATTTCAAAATAAAAATTTCTCTATCTATTGAATTCAGTTGAACATAGCAAGTAGCCTAGCAGTTTGGAATTGTTAATAAATGGCAGCTAAGTGTATATGAAGAGGATTTAGGCAAACGTTTTGAATGAATAGCAGAATTATACTAAAACAATTACTAGATTGTTTGCTCTTTATTTCTATGCATGATAGAATCTCAAGCACATTTATAAGGTAATAATTATTGTTATTTAGAACACCCTTGAACTGATGTACTCATCAGTTAACTAGTGACTAAATAAAAGGTGACTTTCTGTTTACATATTAAAAAAAGTAATCGGTGTCCACTAGAAGTTCTGAGTGCCCCATCTGCACTACGCCAGAGAAATTTGAAAACAGTGTTTTCCCTCTGGAGATGCATCAAATGCATCTAATTCCTCCAGTTTGAAGAGCATTTTCAAATTTCTCCAATGTAATGTGGACGTGACCTTAGACTGTCCATTATCTCTTAGGTTTCATTTAGAGGGAACAGAGGTCAAAAATAATCAGAATTGAGGTAGTTTAATGTAATTGTGGGGTATAATTTTTTGTGAAAATTATTATTTGTTCAGAATCCTTGGCACCAGAAGCATTGCTTTGCCTCCCAATGAACCACCCACTAATCTGGACAGAAACAGTGTTGACCTGAAGGAATTAAAAGCAGAAATTGAGAGAGTTCAAAATGAAACTGTGGAAATTCCATGTATTGTTGGCGGCAAAGAAATCTACACTGGAAACACAAGATACCAAGTGGCTGTGAGTCAAATGCTTTGATTTTTGTGATCAACAAACAAGCATTCTTATTATTTTGTGGGTTGTCTGTTAGGTCTTCAATTTACAAAGACATCAAGCTTTTGTGTGTTGGTCAATACAGTGCTGTCACAGATTTTGATGGAAATTTATGTTATTTATAATCTCTTTTGATTTTTTATAATCTTTGTAGCCATACAACCACTCCCTGAAGATTGCCAAGTACCACATGGCAACGGAGGTAAAAACAGATTTTCATTCAATATCTACTAGCAGATTTTAGTCCGAGTGACCACAGCGTTGATGTAAAAGAAATTCAAAAATCCAGTGCAACGACAGGCAGTTAGGACAAAGTCAACATTTTTCACTGTAATATTGAGAACAGAGCAGACAGAAAAATGTTAATATTTGTGCTTTTGTCTTAATTTACAATTAGTAAAAAAAGATAACACAGAATTGTCATATTGTTTGTTGCCGTAGGAAGTGGTCAAGGAAGCAATTGACAGTGCTATGGCAGCAAGGAAGGAATGGGAGCGCACACCTCATGAACACAGGTTAGGATAGCAGACATTTACTGTTTTCATAAGTGGGAGCTGCAGTGACCTCATGGTTAGGGCACTGGACTCTACATTAAGCAGTCTGTATTCGAGTGCTGGCCTGGATTATTGTGTTGCATTCTTGGGCAAGGCACTTTTACTGTTACAGCACCTCTCTCCACTCGGGTACCGGCAAATTTATTTCTAGGCGATAATTATTATAACCCCACAATGGATTATCATATCCCATCTAGGGGAGAGAAGAAATACTCCTAGTCTCTTCATGCTGTGGAAACCAGGATAAAGGTAAAGACTGTCTGCACACGTGCCAAGTGTCTCATCAGGCTGGAGCTTATCCCAGTTGCAGTAGCATGAAGAGATTAGGAGTACACTGTATTTCTACTCCCCCCTAGATGGGATGCTAGTCCATCGCAGGGTTACCCCCCAGCATTAAATTTACCTGTACCCATTTATACACCTGGTTGAAGAGAGGCACTATTAGAGTAGAGTGTCTTGCCTAAGAACACAACACAATGTCCCTGGTAGCCAGGGCTCGAACCCGGACCACTTGCTCAGGAGTCAAGCGCACTAACCATGAGGCCACCGTGCCTCCCAGGAAAACAGGATAACCTCTGAAGATATAAACCACTTGGCCTGACGCACACCTCACGGTTTTGTTGCTAGTGATAATTGTCGCTCTTTTCAGTCACTGGAAGCTTAAGTGCTAAAAAGTGGTATGCTTTTGTAACAAGGAACCAAACTCTCTGTCATTTTTTTTTTTTTTTTTTATGTACACAAGGTGTTAATATCCATTCATATCATTACTAACCATGATTTCTGCTAGTGCAGTACATACTTTGGTTGACCTTTCACTTTTTTTTTAATTCACATATTATAGGGCTGCCATCTTTCAAAAGGTTGCAGA